AAAGGTCATGCAGGGGAGTCAAATTTACATTTTCCTTCCCAACAAAAAACTCTTTTTTTCCTTCAAAAAATACTTTTTTTTGTTTAAATACTTTATTTTCAACCTAAAAGACTCCCTCCCTCAAAATTACATTCCCTTTCAACAATTAAATGAGTCAATTTTTTATCCACACTTGTTCTAATTCTAATACCATTAATAAACTTTTGTTCACTATCCACATGGTCAAACTTTATTCACTTGTTGATCTATTTTCGTCACTCATTTGATAAAATAATATAGTTATGTCACCTTTAGTTTTGTAGATCTTGTGATATATTTTTTTAATATGTAATTTTTATTTTTATATTTTACACCATTTTTCATATAAAATGATTTGAAATAACTTCTGTCAAACATCGTAACGCGCAACGAGAAGTTTATTTATGGAGGGAGTATGCTCAATTGAAATAATTATTGTGGTGTCACAAAACTATAAGATATTTAGTTTATTAAAAAAATAAGAAAAATGCTAGGGGTACACCAGAGGTGTACCCCATTTGTCCCCCACCCCCTCCTCCACCACATAAATGGGCAATTATTTTAAAAAAAACTTAAATAAATAAAAAGATGATAAAAATGGGTGGTGAAGAAGGGGGTGGGGGACAAATGGGGTACACCAAATGGGTGGTGTACCCCTAGCATTGCTCAAAAAATAAGTCAATTCCTATATCATGAAAGTCAGGGATTTGCACTTTAAAAAAAATGTTAGGGAATTCCACCTATGACAATATGGGTGGTAATTACAAAATACTATTTTGACTAATTAAACAAAATGTTAGGGAATTCCACCGTTTGCAAATAATCCAAATGTAGCTTTTTGGATTTTGACTATTTTGACTAATTAAACAATTTTTGGATTTAGTTGTTAGAAAAAATAATTTTTAGATTATTTTTATTTATTAAATATTTAAAAAATAAAACTAAACTGAAAAAAATTAAAATTAAAGTTTGGAGTATAAAATTAAAAATATAAAAAATAAATGAAATGAGAAAATAAAAATAGAAAAAATGATATAAAAGATTGACTTAGTGATAAAAAAAAGTTACATTTTTGATCTCCTCTCATTTAATTCTTATTGCATCTCATCAAATATTTGTATATCATTAATTTCTATGAATTATATAAAAACATAAAGTAATGCGGGGTATATTAAAGATTTAATATTTAAAATGGCAACATTGAAAAACATGTATTGCATTCATTTTGTTATAAATAAGGTGTGTGTGTGTGTGTGTATAAAATACAAAGTGCAATCATATGCCTTGTAAGTTGTATCCATTAATTTGAATATTATTTTTACAAATGGTAACTACTATTTTGAAAGCATGTTTTGTTAAAATTATGTAATATTTAAAAAAATATACCGTAGAGTAAATTTTTAGACTATATGCCATTAAAAATATCTTTATTTAAAATTTATTTTTATCTAAAACACTTTGACAAAATAGACTTTGGTCTGTATCAAAACAATTCCAAACAACTCGAGTTTGATAAGCTTAGTTAAACCAAGAAAATAAAAATATAAAAATTTTAAAAAAACTACCTTACAACAATCAAAATATTGTACATTCAAGAAATACTTCACAATATCTTCTTTGTCACGAATCACCAAAGAGCTATAAGAGAAAATGTAACTCCCCTAGATGCATGAAAATGTTGAATATTCGTACGGTTTATCAATCATTTTACTGGAAAGCTATGAAGGACGTCTTTTATCATCTCAGATATCTAATCAATTTATCAAATTGGTAAAGTTTTGTATCACTAGATTCCCATAGTCACTTAATATTAATGGCTAGCCTTTGCTAGGTGGGCAATCAATTGCTACAATATGATTCTCGAGATTAGAAAGATATCGAAAGTTATCTTAACTTTGTTTCTAATAAACTTAAGATTTGCTTTATTGAATAGGTTTAATATCTTTGGTTTTGTACTAGGTATTTGTTTTGGAATTTGGTGTTAGAAGATTCTAACTCTATTTTTCTGGCTTTTATGGAATGAATAAAGTATCTTTTGATTAAAAAAAACTTTATCCATATTAGATATTTGTCCAGTTTGATTTAAATTTAAATTGAACAAATTTTGATTATTAATTAAATGAAAACTATAAATGCATAATAGTACAAACAAGATTTGATTACATTTCTCTTGTGAATATTTCTCATATTTTTTTCAAATTTACTATGTTGGAGGAAAGTATTCAAACATTTATTAGATGACCATGAAAAGTGCAAAAAGGAAATTCCACTTTCCAAATTGCTTTTATACATACTAATTTTAATTTACTTTATAATTAGCCAAACAAATTTAGAATTTGTTCTTTTTTGCATTAGTTTTTTTTATTGAAATTCAAATATTAAAGTTTGGAATTTGAAATTTAGATAAAATACTTATTTTAATAGCTTATACAATTTGAAGTACGGAATAATTGATAATTGAAACTTGAACACTGAAGTCAAGACCTTAAAACTTAAATTTGGATAGTTGAAGTTAAAAGTGATAAAAACAAGGATAATCAAACTTGCTATGAGGCTGCCGGGTAATGATTAGACCTGGCAAAACTGACCCGGACCCGATAACCCAAACCCGATTTGACCCGAAAACTAAAGAACCGAAATAGACCCGAACACCCGAAATGATCCGAACCCGAACCGAACCCGAACCGAATGTATTCAGACCCGATTCAGATCCGAATCCGATTAAACCCGAACCGATTAAACCCGAACCCAATTAAACCCGGAACTGACTATACCCGGAATGGATTAAATTTTATGTACGTCGGTGTTAAATAATAAAATAACTACGGAGTATATCATAAATTGATTAAATTTATTATGTGATATTATTGATTTATTAGTAAATATTTGATATATATTTGAACTAATATAAACCTAAATTGATGCAAACCCGAATCGATATAAACTCGAACCGATACAAATCCAAACCGATACAAATCCGAACCGATATAAACCCGATCCGATACAAACCCAAACCGATACAAACCCGAACCGAAACCAAACCGAAACCGAAAACCAGTAAACCAAAATTAACCCGGAACCGAACTGACCCGAACCGAACCAACCCAAATCGATTATAACATATATCCGAATGAGACCCGAACCGGAACCGATTGACCCGATTGCCAGGTCTAGTAACGATCAAATACGAAGTAAATAGTACCCTGTAAAAAGAGTAATGCTTGAGTAAATCACAACTTGCCTTTTTAACACTAGAAATAAAATGTAATCAAATTACAAAAGATATTTTAATTTAAAATCTACAAAAAGCAAGTTTGTGATGTTAATAAACTATTTGTTTGTGATTCTACCATTTTCACCGTAAAAATTACTCCCTCCTTCCCAATTAAATCGCTTGTTACGGTTTATGATGTTTGGCCTGAAATTATTTTCAAATCATTTTATATGAAAAACAGTATAGAATTAAAAAATAAAAATTACTAGAGGTGAAATAATTCTATTATTTTATCAAATGACTAACAAAATTAGAAAAAGAAAATAAATGAAATTTAAGCATGTAAATAGAGAATTTAATTTGAAACGAAAGGAGTAGCAAAGAGAGAAGTTCAAATTTGACTTGTAAATACTCCTTAACATGATCTTTTTGGGGACGAAGGGACTATAATTTATCCCACCCCATGTAGGTGTTAAATCTTATCCCTTTTGGTATCAACAAAAAAAAGTTTTCAAACTTTGGTACTCCGTACTGAAAAGGAAAAAGAAGAGATACTTTCTCCGTCCAAAAATATTCTTCCCACTTTTCTTTATGGCCCGTCCGAAAATATTCTTCTCATTTCCTTTTTAGTATACTTTTTAAGGATAAATTTCAATAATAACCTTCTATTTTATCACTAATCTACTTTTTTATTGCTTTTTAATAAGAAAATGAGATTTAAAAGTTTATAGTATGTGCATTTTTGAAAATTTGGTATTTTTTTAATGATTCTTAATAAACGTGCCAAGTCAACACGAGAAGAATATTTCCGAACGGAGGGAGTATCAATTTTTATAGTACTTTTGATTTTATTCTTTTTTAAATATTATTCCCTCCGTCCCAAATTATAATGTCTATTTACAATTCAAAGGGTCAAACTTCATTCACTTTCTTTCTCTATTTTCGTTAGCAAATTGATAAAATAAAATATTATTGTCACTACTAGTTTTGTACTACCTCCGTCCCATTTTATAACGCCTGTTTCGATTTACGATGTTTGACTGAAATTATTTTCAAACCATTTTATATGACAAATAGTATAGAATTAAAAAATAAAAATTACATATTAAAAAACTATATCAAAAGATCTACAAAACTAGTAGTGACAATAATATTTTATTTTATCAAATTGCTAATGAAAATAGAGAAATAAAGTAAATCAAGTTTGACCCTGTGAATAGTAAACATGCATTATAATTTGGGAGGGAGGGAGTAGATCTTTTGATGTAGTATTTTAATATGTAATTTTTATTTTTTAATTATATACCATTTGTCATATAAAATGATTTAAAAATAATTTCAGTCAAACATCGTAAACCGAAACAGGCGTTATAAAATGGGACGGAGAGAGTAACATTATCAACATCCTAGATTCATTTTTTAGTGCAACATTATCAACATTCTAGATTCATATAATGTGATAGTAGTTCATAGAATCATAGTTGTACGGGTGCTCTCACTATAAATTATTGAATGAACCCTACCCACACAACACATGAACATATAGATAGATATCATCTATTAATCAAAACCCATAATGACTTGACCTCAAGTCCTAAATATGTCTCCCCAAGAAACTTATAGAACCAAACATTCCCAGCATACCACATTGTTGAAGGGCAAACCTTTAGCCATCTGACATATGGGCAAAACCGAGGAGGGGTTGGGGGGGGGGGGCTAGGGAGGGTTGAGGTAGAAATCATTTAGGGGTCGAACAGAGCACCGTAGGACCCTCAAATGGATCCAGTGTCATAATATTGATATAGAAAGAGGCAAACTTACATAAATATGGAATATAGAAAATTGTAGGAGTGTAGAGTAAATAATAAGGTTAAAAAAAGGTTGTTCATCCAAAAACAAGAGAGGCACATCAAACTCAATACCTAGTGCATCTTGTTCGCCACCTTCCCTTTCTTTCTATCCCGCTTGTTTAGTGGCTTTGCCCGGGATTTCTTTTTCACGGCTTTCTTGAATGGTTTATTCTTACTTACAGGAATCTTTTTCCTTCTGGTATCTTTGATTTCACCGGACGTTACAGGGGGTGAGATTAAAGCAGGGATGTCCTCCATCTCGGGAGTGATTTCACTGGTTGTTACTGTGATTTGCACATCACCATGGTCATACATAGTTGTACCTTTGTGACAAGAAATAGTGTGTCAATTTAATGGCCAGATTGGCATTTAACATCTTGATCGAATCAATAATGGCCTCATTATAAATCTAACTGCCTATCACGACTACGGTATAAGGTTGCTAGGTCTTGCAAACATAAAAAAATGATTAAGAAATGTTTGCATTTAGAATTGCAGAAATTATTACAGGAACCAATAATTCGAAAGACGATCATATCATGCTGCCCCTTACCCCAAATGCTATTAAAATGAACAGGTCTATACAGAGGCGGATCCAGGAATCTCGGGCCATGGGGTCCTGTTTAAGTTTTTGTTATTCAAATTAAATTTTATTTAAAACAAACTAAAAATATGTACTATCAAATAGATTTTTTATAGTCATAAATTTTGCATTGGAAACCCTTAAAAGATAAAATTTGTTATAATATCCACAAGCACAACTTTAATATTCTGGTTGAATTTGTTCCATGATATCAAAGTTTTACTCACTTAGAAGTCACAAGTTTAAATCTTACCACCACACAATTAAAAATAATTAATATTCACATGCAAGACTCAACATAAACAAAATTTGTCCACTCATTTGGGGGCTTGTTAGAGCATAAACAAAACTCAATTGTTATAAATGATGGTTTCTTGTGAAAAGTTTTAAATGAAGAAAGTTTAGATCTAGATTTTGTTTGAAAATAACATTTTCAAATATTAGTGTTAGCGGTTTTGAAAAAATTAAATATATAAATTAATTTTAAAAATAGTAAAGTCAAACGCTATTGTTAGGTAAACTTTTCAAAACATTAATGCTAAATGCTGAAATTGTTTCTGGGCATATTCCTATATATACTTTTTTACATAAGTTTTAAAGATTAGAATTCATAACTTCACTATTCATTAAATGCTTTGTTTTTCTAAGAACGAACAACTTTTATTGTTAAGGAGGATTTGAATACTGTGGATCATTGAGATTGGTATCATTTTCACTACATTCATTTTTCTTAAAGCTTAGTTACCAAAATCTTAGTAAATAAAGCATATCATAAAAAAATATAAAATTCATCATTACAACTCAAATATTCCGTATTTTGATACTACATATAATTAAGCATATACAAAATTTGAAAAGTTGTTAAAAGGTGAAAATTATATAATTTGAACATATTTTGAAGAGAAATAAATATTTTGTAAAATAAATCATTTTTTAAAAAAGAGAAAGAAAATAGTAAAAAGAATATTTGAATGAATATATAAAAAAGTGAATAAACTTTTTTTTGTCTTTTCTATGGATGGTTTTCTTTACGGAGTACTAAAAAAAGAATACTAAACAAATATAGAAAAATTACTCAAGTTTGATGAAAGGAGGATCAAACCCACAACCAATTGAAAACTACAACACGTGTCTGACCACTCGAGCACATACACCACGTCTTCTTCTAGCGCTTTTGGTTATATATATAACAATAATAAAAAAAATACCTAATATATATAATATCCTACGTGGAGGTCCGTGGGGTCCTGGGACCCCGTAGGACTCCAAGTGGATCCGCCTCTGGGTCTATACCTAGAATGCAGCAAGATGTTGCTATAAGTTAATGTGTTCTATTTACCAATAATATTCAATACAGTCTATACTTCGATTTTTTTTAAACATAAATATGACTAATTTGTTTTGCATGTATATACATTATTAGCATCTCTATGATAGAGACTAAAAAAAGATTTTCAACCAAAATCTAAAATTAAAATGTGTGTGAGTCTATGCTATATTTTTCCCAAATTATATTCCCTTTCAAGTCATCTCTCTATTTTCTCTCTTTAGCATTTTCCAGGTTCGAAATCCAAACGGACCTTAAAGGAGTGAATTCTCCCAAAAATACAAGTTCTAGTTTCCAAAGACACCTACAATGACTAGTCAAGTTATCAGTTATCACTGCAACTTATTCCGTGTCTTACAAGTAATAGAGGAAATCAATGCTCTTGAGAGTTAAAGGATATATAAATACTTAATACGGAGTACTTATTAGCAAATCATCTGTTCCATATTAGTTGGGTTGATTTTTTTCACTATTCACATGCACCACCTAGAACGTTTTTTTCTAGGATACAAAAACAAATTGTATTATACTCCCTCCGTCCCATGCCAAAGAGCACAAACCACCTTTTAGGTTGTCCCACCTCAAAGAGCACACCCTTAATTTTGACATAACCCCCCAACTTTTTCAATCATCTTTCTATCTTTTCATTTTTCAATCACTTTTTCTCCAACTTTTTCAATCGATATTCGCTTTTACACACACTATCTTACTTTTTCAATCACTTTTACTCTCTCTCTCTCTCTCACTTTTTCAATCACTTTTACACTCTCTACCTACATTTTCAATCACTTCTAAAATTTCCTTAATCTCCACCAAAAGCCTCATGTCCCCTTTGGCATGGGACGGAGGGAGTATAAAACATTGCTAAGTTGTCAGTGTGCATTTTTAAGATAGCAATTTTTTGTACGAGTAATATTTACAATATATATTTAAATTTAGTAATGGTCGACGTAGCATATCAACAAGTATGAGAGTCGAACTATTTCAATTAATATAGAACGTAGGAAGTGTGAAGTAGTGTAATACCTGACACAAGTGGATTAAGGCAATCTGACTCCATGTCGTCTTCATTATCCTCATCTGCATCCTCCTTGTGCTCGCCAGGTTCAGCAGTAGAATCAGGCAAGACCCCATCATCGGTGACCAATTGTCTTTCTAACCTTCTCTGCAGAAGCAAGAAAATAGGTGTAGATGAATCATGTAGTTGTTGTGGTAGTCAGATGACACAACAAACCTAGTAAAATTTCAGAAGAGTAGTGTCTAGGAAGGGTGTGCGTACATAGGCCTTACCCCTACTTGGAAGTAGAGAGGCTATTTTTAAGAGACCCCCGTCTCAAACATCAAACCTCAGAAAAAGTAAACATGATATATTTGTTTATTCCAAAATCCAAATCGATGCCTCCTCAAAAAAGAGATCTCATCAATTCTCATTTATTAATTATTTATATAATTTGTATCCAATGACCTCAAACCTGCCATTTCCTTATATATGAGCGTGAGTCCTGCTTGATCATGCAAATGTACTTGCAAATGCAGGCTAATATTTTACAACAAACAAAGCTTTTTTTGCTCTCCCAAACATAAGGCGCTGTTTGGAACTTGGAGAATGGTTCAGAAAGGGGAAAACCAAATGAAAATTTGTTTTTAAGTATTTTCTTTTACATAAAAAATACGAAGGAAAATCAAAGTTCCACTTAAGCAGTTGGATTTGGACTTGGCAGTCCTAAACCTCACTGATGCTGAATTGCACAGAGACGGGGACTGTTACTAATACAAGGACAAGATCGGAAACGGGGAAACATCAACTTCTCCAAATGTTACAAAGGATTTGGGTGCCGGGACATCCCCAAGTACCGAAACAGATGCTTTTTGGGGAGGGGAAGCGACACTTAATTAAAGAATTCATGCAACATAGGTGTGACATATTGAAAGACCATCTTGGAGGAACATGCATAATTGTATAAATGTTCCACCTTGTCTTAAAGTACCAAATAAAAAGTTAAGCCAGAGATGTTTGACTACATTAGATGGCTTTTGCTAAACGAAAATCACTGCTAAAAAGTCTAAAAAGAAACACTAGGGTCTGGTTCTAATTTTAACAGTTGTGAATAAATAGGCTGGATCGTATTTTATCACGAGGACCCAACCAAAAGATGTAGAGAGCTCATGCTCCGTCGAACTCACAAACTCATAAGAATGCATCTCACAAACTCATAAGACTATAAGAGTTTCTATTTCCATTCATTCATGTCCTCAAACAATAAATGCACAATGCTAGTCATTATTAGAAAAGGTCCAAGAAACATATATTTTGCATAATAAAAGATTCACCAAACCTAGGGTTATGATACGATCACATCACCGATGACACCAAGGAGGACCCGGTCGGTGTCCACACACAATGGCTATGGGTCTGTTTGGGAATAGCGTTAGAGATTAACGTTAGCGTTTTGGATAAAATTTTAACAAAGTAGATTACTTTGAAAACGCTAACGCTAAACGCTGCCCGTAGATAGTCTTTTCAAAACGCTAACGCTAATTGCTAACGCTTTTCGGCCCTATATGTACCTTACTATTGGTGGTGTTAACATTGGTGTTATCCTTGGGATTAAACTTACATTTTCCAGCTAACTATTTAAACAGTAATTAGAAGGAAAATAAAAGTATTGAACCTCTTTACGAATTTCGATGCGTTTTCTTCTATCGGCTTCCTGCAATTTCTGCTGCGCTTCTTTCCTCCTCTTCTTCTTCCTCTTGTGAAACCCAGACACGAATTCCCTGCAATTCCCGCAGACAATAAAATCAAAGGTAACCCAGTGAAATTCGGAGCAAAATTAACAGGGTGCAGGTGAGTACCGGAGATCTTTCTCGTCAAAAGAAATAGAGAGGGATTTGTTCTTAAGAGCCCTCTTTTTTATGTGCCGACCTCGCACGCTTCCCTCTTGTCGCTCAGCATAATCTTCTTCATCCAGTGACCCTTTCGCCATGGCAGCAGCCATTGTCGTCAAGCAGAAGCTTCAAAAGTCAAAACCCTAGCTCCATCTTCTCTGTTAACACTTGCGATTTTACAGTAGTGCGTTCATATCAAAACGGTGTCGTTCCATTTTTGGCTAAAAAGAAAAAGGAACAAAATGAGTGCGTTTGCCGGGAGTCGAACCCGGGTCTATTGCTTGGAAGGCAATTATCCTAACCGTTGGACTACAAACGCGACTGATATGAGAATTAACTGTTTAAAGTATATAAACAATTAAACCCCTGAAAGGTGAAACTTTCTCGATCTTTTATTGGGCCAAGACTTTGCAAACAAATCGTTAGGGCCGGTAAAAGCCCGTATGACATAGAGTGGTCAGGTTCGGGATAGATCCATTGGGTCCACATGCCAACTTGTTCTGCCCCCCTCATGGGTGTTGTTTAGAAATTAGAAGTGATTAGGTAGTGGGTAAGTGATTTTTGACGTAGTTTTTTAAACTCTAAGTTGTAATTGGACCGGTTCACGAGAGAATCTCATTAGAGAAAACTAACACTAAAGTTCATTTAACACCCAAGATTCCACCCTAGACAAAAAGTATCTGGTCATAAGATTGTAGACTGGCGTCACAACTCAACACAAATATTTTTTCTACCTACGCACTTTGTTCTCACTCGTACATGCCCAGGGGCTTCTTAGGGGGTCACCCATCCTAGAATAACTTCAAGTATAGTACGCTTAACTTTGAAATTTTTAAGTGATGAACTCTCTAAAAAAGATGATCTTGTTAGTATGATTAGTACTATCAATCCTTATGAATTCTTTCCATTCTCATCTTAACACGGGTCATTACAATTCCTAAATTATTCTATTATAAACATAGCACATCCTCTTTATATCATTCATTAGTTTTTCGATAGAGTTTCAACCTTCATTAATAACCACCAACACATATACTGTATCAATAATCAAATATTCCTTTCGCATGATACCGCCCGAAAAGGGTCGTATTTTTACGTAAATATTGTACTTTTATCATATTATTAAGTTTATTGAATTATTATCCAATATTATATTCTATATTCTATATATTATGGTGGATTGGAATCCATCAAAATGATATTAAAAGCACGAGATTTTACCTCGTGACTCAAAAGTTTGATACCACAAATTTTAACATACATGCAGCAATAATCGTTAATTTGGCCGCACAGATAATTATTATTAATACATATCTGTGAAACACATGATATCGATTAAATTTTAATGTCAAATTCTAATGTCAAAATAGACTTACCCAATATATTCCCTTCGTCCCAATTAAATCCCTTGTTTCAGTTTACGATGTTTGATTGAAATTATTTTCAAATCATTTTATATGAAAAAATGGTGTAGAATTAAAAACAAAAAATACATATTTAAAAACTACAGCAAAAAATTTATAAAACTATTAGTGACTTGATTATATTATTTTATCAAATGACTAACGAAAATAAAACAAGAAAGTGAATAAAGTTTGATTATGTGAAAAGTAAATATGCAATTTAATTTGGAACGAATGAACCATAAATGTGGCAAAAATATTTTATGAAATTCTATGGTTTCTTCATACATAAAGATTAACAATAATAACAATATTTATGAAATTGAATCAACAAGTAATTTAGGAAAAATTCTCACTAATACTAGCTCTCATGCATATTTTGTCGATTATATAATATTATTCACATATTTTCTTTTGCACACCAAGAAGTTATCAGATTTTACATTGTTACTCTAACCGACGGAGTCAATTTCATACTTAACTACACAGAATTATTTCGACTGACATAACATCTGAAATAATGAGTTAGTAATACATCTAAAGTAATAGAGTTAAATTAAATGTCATTTAAATTTTTAAATAACTTAATATGATTTTATGGGAACCCTAATTGAATTTGGTAGAATCGGCCATATCTTTTTTGTCTTTTTCTCCAGCATGAAAACTGTTAGACAATAATAATAGTATTACTTATGGTAGTATTTGATTATTAGTCAGTTTCTTATTCCTCCCATTTATGATAGATGTAATGTTTTAGTGAGTTTTCATTTTCTATCTTTAGTTATGTTAGAAGTCCCTCATATCTATATACTCTATCATGTATTTTATAATTGAATGAACAATATTATTGCAATATTCTAACATGGTATCGGAGATAAGGTTCTCTAAAACCTAGACTCTTCTTTAAGATTGAGCACATCGATAGTCTCTGTTCACGACGGCCGATCTCCAGACATCACATATATATATGTATATACACACACACACACACACACACATATATATAGACACACACACTCTATCATGTACTCCATAATTCACTTCGAAATTTCTCCGGGATGAAAACAAGTCAAAATTTGATACACTTCGAAATTCGAATAAGCCAACTATTATTTGAGTTGGAGATGAAGGATGAAATAAGAGCTAACGAGTGCCATTTTTGAAAGTGAAGTGCTGCTTTTGGGTTTCCTTTTCTGGGGCTGTTCATTCTTCTTTTAATTTGGAGCTGGGGTAAGGTTTTGAATGGGGCCATATCATGTCTTACTTTTTGCAAGTACACCACATGTTCATGGGAAGCCACCACCCACATGTTCATGGAAATCGTTCACACCGATCGTCCCTTACTACCAGTCTGATGAAAATGTGAGAGAAGGTAAATAATGAGGACTCAGTCGGCAACAGAGGTTGGGGCAGGTGCTCACTGCACACAAGGAGCCCCTCATTTTCTAAGAAGTTACTCCCACACTGCCGACTAAAGCGGTCCGGCACGATACGAAAAAATGAACCTTTGTTTCACAATGAAATGAATCTGGTCAATAAAATACTTCAAAATTGACTTTTTAAATGAACCGAAAATCTTATGTGGGATAAACAAATCAAATGCAAATAAATCTCTGAAAATATTCGAACCAAATGCGAATATGAATATCATCCAAAACTAACGAATAGGTATAATATGCATGCATCAATATTCGATTCGATTAGTTCGTTTAGAACCCTAATCTCTAGTAACTTTTTTGGTCAATAAAATATTTGTGAATTGAACAAGATAAAACTTTGGATGTTTGCCTCACATTTATCAGTATATAATGGGTCTAACACATGCTTACACGAAATGGGGACTATAAAACATTTGGAACTCTAGTTTCATGTCTTTTTTTCCCCATGTCTAGTTTGCATAGGTCTTGAAATAACTTTTATGATTGGCCTCACCTCATATATATCCCATAATTTTCTCTTTTTAAAAAAGTTTAAAAATGAGTGAAGAAATTAATTGTATACATATATAGTACCAAACCTTTTATTCTATTCCATTTTTTCTATTAGTACTTAAATTTTTTTATATTCTAAAAATAAGACTTTAAATATAAAAAAATAGCATAATTTTACTCAAATAGTAGACATTATCCATTCAGAGTTATATTGGATGGATGGATGGACGGATAGGTAAGTCGCTGGATATTTAAATGACCATATGGCAATATAATGTTATTGGCGATGGATCCATAAACATCGATTGCACGAAGAATCGCGACAAACATTAAGTGGATATTTCTGTGTGGGTGAAAACTGCTTGTAAGTTGCTTTTTAACTTATAAATTAGCAAATGACGTGTTTCTGTGTGACTATAAGCTGACTTATAAACTATTTATAAGTCATAAAAAAGAATGTTCTTACCTGCTTATTTTTAAGCCAGATTTTTTTGTTTCTGCATTTTGACCAGAATACTTACAAAACTTTCCCTCACCCATCATGAATCTTCCCAAATGACTTATATATCATTCAAGTCATTTTATCTACACGAATTTTTTTTAATTATAAACGACATATAATTTAAAATCTACTTATAAATAATAAGTCAATAAGCACCAACACAGAGAAACATCTACTAAAATTGTGTGGATATGAATTAAACCTAAAATTGGTCCAAAATTTGTGAAAGCCTATGGTTTTTGTAATTGAATGGGGGGTCACGGAGGGAGCATGATTTACAGAGAACACTTAGCTTGTTTGAATGAGTGGTGACTGTCAAAGCCAGATTGTCACATGCTTAAAAATGGTGCGTGCTAAACCACTAATGTGGACGGTTACTCGATCGGTTAGCTTTCCATTGCCATTATATTAAATTATATTAAGAAATATTTCCACTAAATAGCACTAAAACTTAAATCATTTCTTTAAATAGTACTTAAATTATTTTATTTTCTAAATGGCACTTAATAATGTCCATAATGTCCAGTAATGACGAATAATTACTTGAATAATGACTAATGCATAATGACTAAAAGTGCTACATTAGGAAGAAAAACACATGTGGTGCTATTTAAAAAAAGTCATTATGTTCTAGTGCTATTTAAGTAAATTTCTCTTAAATTAATGCTCGCTTACAAAAAAAACTTGCTTCCTCCCATAAGATTGGTGATATTTTGATTTCACAACATTTTTAAAAACTATTGAAAAATAAAAAATGTATGGTTAAAACTTCTTAATGACTGATAAAATTGTTGTTTTTCACATACTACATTCGTCCTTCCTTTCAGTATATTTGTCTAGTTTTAATTTTTCGAGTCAGACTAGATAAATTTTGAGCTTCAGTTATTCTCAATTTGTATTTCATATTTCTATAATAAAAGTTTTACTCGAAAATTATTTGTATTATTTCAATTTGTAAAATTATTTTACACTGATATACATTACAATTATTGTTTAATTGAAGCTCAAAATCATCTTGTTTGATTCAAAAAAGTTAAACTGGAAAGATAAACTGGGACGAGGAAGTATCCGTTACCAAAATCGAGAATAGATTAAATGTAAAACTTTCTACTAATTTTATAAAACATTAAAAACCGCAAATTACAGTTAGATCAAAGGAAGGAGGTGCGCGATGATGAAGAGGCCAACAAAGATTAGTCTTATCGAAGAAGAAGAGCCACAATTCAGCGAAGGAGAAGCACACCAATGACGAAGGGGATGCGTGCCGTCAGCCGCCACTATCTCGCTAAGATTAGCGCTCTGGTGATCAGGAAAAGAAAGAAAATTGGGCTGCCAAGTCTTTGCATTAATTATATTTTAATTATATTTTGCTGGAGAATTAACACTATGTTATTCGAAAATGAATATTACTTTATTTTAAAATGACATTAAGTTATTCGTAAATGAATATTACCCCGTATAATTTTATTGAACACATGTGTGAAAATTAATACTACTCCCTCCGTCCCAAATTATAATGCATGTTTACTATTCATAGGGTCAAACTTCATTCACTTTCTTTCTCTATTTTCGTTAACAATTTGATAAAATAAAATATTATTGTCACTACTTGTTTTGTAGATCTTTTGATTTAGTTTTTTATTATGTAATTTTTATTTTTTAATTCTATACCAGTTGTCATATAAAATGGTTTGAAAATAATTTCAGTCAAACATCGTAAACCGAAACAGGCGTTATAAATTGGGACGGAGGTAGTATATTATTTCAGAATGAGTACTATGTTATTTAAGAATGAGTAGTATGTCACTTCAAAATAAACACTTATATTTTGCGAGAATGAGTATTACTTACTTCAAATTGAGTACTACTTGGTTGTACCTTACTTATGGTATAATCGACTTTACCAACTACGTACTCATTAAAAAGAGAGTAAAAATTTATGAGGTAGAGGAAGTAATTAATTCTCTCATTGTCCCAAAATATTCATTCAATACTTTTTTGATCCATTTAATTAACAATATTTGACATATATTTTTAAGGTTACAAAAACCGACAAGGTTATATTGACACCTACTATGGGTGTGATATTACAATGCCCGTCCAATTGAAACATCCACTTTGTTGAACAGTATATTCTCGTTGACATCGGTCCCGATTAACACTACAGGATTTGAGTTATCTACGATGTTCAGTTTGTAAAAGTAATTATTCATACACCCTAACCCTGTGGTAAATTCCACATTCCTCAATTTCTTGTTGACTTTGGGTTAGAAGGTACGAATCACGAAATATACGAACAACATACCATACATGTTTTAATTGGAGGCGATATTACCTGTTGACATTTAAAATACAGTAAGTTTTAATCAAATCTAACCCTGAAATAAAATGTCCCGAAATAAAATGTCTCTAAATAGCTTTCACCTTTGGAAATAAAATGACTTAAGATTATAGTCATTTTATAGACAAAAAAGAAGTTGTCTTTTGCCAAAAAAGAAAAGGTCTTAAATATAAATATTGGGCCAATTTGTGTACTAGTTTTGATTCCAATCTTTCCATGGTGGAGTGGGATAAAGCAGAGCAGAGCAGAGCAAAGGGAAAATGACAACAAACTTGAATTCTCATTCTTCATGGCCATGGCTTTCTTCCCCGAAACGATTTCATCATTAAATTCAAGCCCTCTCTTCTCCGCCATTATCACTCTCTACACTCTCCTCCTTCTATACCTTCCCCCCCTTTTCCGGGATCTCCTTTTCTCCCCTGTCCTCCTTTCCGCCTCCGCCCTCCTCTTCTCCCTCCTCCGCCTCGGCGCCGCCCAGCGAATCTCCCGGGTCGAACCGGACGCCGCCGACAAGCAGCCGATTCTCCCGTCTAAGGGTTCGGGTCAGAATTCGGATGGGCAGGAGTTTATCGAGTGGGACGTGAGGGCCCCGCTGGAGGCGATTCTTGAAGACGAAGAAGAAGAAGGTGGCGGAGAGGTTCAGAGGTATGCTTCTCTGTTGCTCTATTATCCGGATTCGGATTCGGGTTCTTCGTCGGAAGGGGAATTTCCGGTTGCCAGAGGGTGGGATTATCAATCGACGGAGAGGAATTGTTGCTGGTGGGATGAGGAGGAGGAGGAAAGAGACGAGTTGATTGAGATATCGTTGGACGGGAAGAGGGGTTTTAGTGAGCCGGAAGAAGATAATCTGATCGAGATCGACCTTTTCCCCGGCAAGTGATTGGTTTTCCGGCGAGGGGGTCGTTCCCTTCCGGATATGTTTTGGATGTATACTTCCTCTTCAACTTGAGAGGTTTATTACTTTAATTTACTCTGTATTTTGTATCAACATTTGATACTTTTCAATATTAACAAAAATTTAATAATACGACCATTATTTGACTGAACTTATTTTTAAATCAATTTAAATAATATAGAATGAAAAAAGTTATATTAAAAACTTACATCAAAGTATTACAAACTAATATTTTGTATTATTTTATTTTATCTAATGATCGATAAAAATCTATATAAAGAAAATAGTTTTTTTCAATGAAATGACAATTTTATTACTGAACAATACTTTCTCCGTTCTATAATGATCTTCCCAGAGCACTATTCCAACTTCACGAGAATTTATATTTATTTGTGTTTTTTCATGGCCTATATGATAAAATAAAATATTTTTGTCACCACTTGTTTTGTTGAACTTTTGGTGTAGTTTTTAAATATGTATGTTTTATTTTTTATTTCTATACCAATATTTAAATAAAATAAATTGAAAAAACTTAGGATTTTTCTTTGTTTTGCGAACCGGGAAAATCATTATAGGACGGAGGGAGTATCAAAATTTAAGGCAATAAAGACATCACTAATATGAGCTAGAGGTAGGAGTGGGCACAGGTCAGAACGGTTCAGATTTTATGTCGTCTCGCATTTTGTCCCATTTTTTCAAACGATTCGAAACACTTCGGGCCACAAGATTATCCTTCTTTGTTCCTTAATATTCGAGATCTGAATAAAACAGAACGAGTTTGGATTGTTCTACTTTGTCATTATTCGAAATTTGATATAAAATATAAAATACATAAAGGTGAGACATCTCACTTTGATTTACAAAGTAATAAAAAACTGATATACTCCGTATTTATTTAGAGTTATTTAAAAAAGCCAAAATAATAAGGAAACACCTCAAAATCAGACTCTAAGCTTCATTTTAACTATGAGCCAAATATGGATATCTTTTATATCTATTTTGGGAAAAAACAGAAATTATGATATTATTTGTGTGTTATATCATTATATAAATAAGTAAGTGTACCGTGTGTGTGTGTGTGTCTATATATATATATATATATATATATATATATATATATATATATATAGTTCCCCTTGTAAAGATGGTCACAGGGTTGATTGGTGAACCACACCACCCAGGTTCGATCCCTAGAAGATGCAAATTTGGAGAAATTTTAAGGAGTTAAACGTGCTGGCATTGGGAGTAGCAAAAGTGATGGGTGACCCATTGGGAAGTAGATTTGGGCTTATGGGGATGTGCTTTAGATTGGGCTTACTTTGGGGTTTCTATAGTGGGTATCTACCTCGTGTGTTAACGACCCCCGGGGTGGTCACGAGGTTAACGGGCCGAGAAAATATATATTCAGGACAACAAGACGGAATGAGAAAAAATTTATGTGCTCCGGTTTTATCCCATTTTAAAACGGTTCGAAATGGGTTCAGGTGGCAAAATTTTGTCATTCCTAACAAAACGGAACATTATAGGGACAGGACTGAGATATTTCAGGTCAGGAAAACGATTTCGGGATTCTTGCACACCGCTAGCTGGAGGGATGGAAACCCACTCCAAGAAATCAGGCGCTCGAGCCAACAAATGAAAATATGATTGACTTATTTTCTAATAATAGACCACGAGAAAATAAAGTCAATTTGACATGTGACTAATAGATTAATTTACTTAAATATGACTAAAACATAATGACTTTCCCAATATAGGACCATATGTTTTTATTTCCAATGTAGGACTTTTGGTCATTATGAATTAGTCATTATTTAACTAAATGTCTATCATTACTGAACATTATTCCTCCCACAAGGTCATTATTAAGTCCTATTTAGGGAATAAAAAAATTTAAGTCCTAGATTAGGAAAGTCATTATGTTTTAGTCCTATTTAGTGCAAATTTTACTAATATAACTAATAGTCTTTTTTTGGAACGAACGGAATACAAAAATATCATCACCTTTTTTATTATTGAATTTATAATAAAGATTCACTATTTTTTGTATAATGAAATAAAGCAAAATGATTATTTGAACTATATGTTCTTTTTTTGGAAAAAATAAAGGTTATATTTGATCAAAGATAGTTTAAATTGTTAAAACAATGATTAAAGGAGGGGGTGGGGGTGGGGAAAGCATGCAGGGGTTGGATTGGGGTTTAAGAAAAGTGTTAGGGATAAGAACTATCAATTTTACAAATGGAGCTCCGTAGATATATATTTCAATTGAATTATTGTATACTCCGTATAAGTATTGCTGTAATTTTTTAGGCCTATCCTTAATTTTCATAATTTTTTTTTATCTTAATTTTTGTATTTATTGATATGAACTAAGGCTTATTCTTAATTTTCATAGAATTAAAGCGTAAAATCACCGTGAATAATTTTTTTTCTTGAGGGTAAAAAATGAATAAAAGTTAGCAAAGTTACCAACACACAAGGCATTTTAACCTCCCACCTAGCAAATCTACCTACCTATTTACCCAAAGGCGCTCCAATGCGGGGGGTAATTTTCGGGTATCTTGGGCGCCAAGTCAAGCCCGCTCCAAAAATGTTGGAATGAAAAGACGCTTCGCGAAGACCCTTATTTTCTTTTCCTGTCTTTTTAGGTTCTTCCTCTTCCCATATTCTCTCTCGCCCACTCCGCCGCAAGCCCAAATTCCTGCAGATTTTGGCCTCCGAGACTCGATTTGAACGCCAACGAAATGCAGACCGCCGCGCTGGTTCAGAGATTCTCCCGGATTTACCGCGACTGTCCTAAGCTCTCCAAGCTTCTCGTCGTTTGTTCCGTAGGGTTAGTTTTTCCGATCTTCGCTTTGTTTTCCGCCGGATTTATGCGTGGTTAGATTCATCGTTCTGATCTGTTCCGTCATTTTATGTTTCCTGCGTATGTGCATTGACGATCTGTATCGATTTATGAATTTCTCAATCGTGTTTTCTGATTAATCCTCTGTTGATTTATGGTTGATCTGGTGTTGATAGTATTGTCCGATAATGAACATTGAGAAATTAAACTTCTGTTTGAATCGGATCGTGCGTTTTTTTGTTTATGCTTCATGAGGTTGTTTCTATAGAATTCTAAGCGTTTGATCTTCATTTGGTAGTGGTGTGAGCCTTGTGACGTACTCTGTAGCAACAAGTTCACAGCAGCCTGAGGTTTTAAACAAGAAGAAAGTTGTGGTGCTTGGAACTGGTTGGGCTGCAACCAATTTCCTGAAGAACTTGAATGATCCTTCGTATGATGTCCGGGTTGTTTCACCCCGGAATTACTTTGCATTTACTCCTTTGCTTCCAAGCGTAACCAGTGGCACGGTTGAAAGCCGCAGCATCACTGAACCCATTCGTAACATTATCAGAAAGGTAATTTGAGCATCATATCATTGAACAGATTTATAGAATCATTCCCTGTCTGGAACATTGATTACTACCATCTTTGCATATCAAATTGACTTTGTGTTTGGAACAACTCTGACTATTCAGAAAAATGTTGAAATGCACTACTCCGAAGCCGAGTGTGTCAAGATCGATGCGAAAAACAAGAAGGTTTATTGTCGTTCTGACATGAACAAAAATTCTGATGGGAAGGAAGAATTTGATATGGATTATGACTACCTTGTGATTGCTATTGGAGCTTGTGTAAATACATTCAATATTCCGGGTGTTCAAGAGCATACCTACTTCTTGAAGGTAAAATTGAATACTTTTATAACGATCTATTGTAGCTTTTGTCTTTGTATGTATAAAATATTGAGGATAAGAATGTATATCAACCAGCATAGTTCTTGAAATACATTAATGGCTTTGGCTGGAATGTATGTATGCAGGAAGTGGAAGATGCTCAGAGACTCAGAAAGGCTGTTATTGAAAGTTTTGAGAAAGCCAGTCTACCTAACCTCAGTGATGAAGAGAGGAAAAAGCTTCTTCACTTTGTCATTGTTGGTGGTGGCCCAACTGGTGTTGAATTTGCAGCGCAACTCCATGATTTTGTCAGTTCAGAAGCAGCCAGATTATACCCAGAGGTCAAGAATTTTGTGAAGATAACACTAGTTGAAGCAACAGATCACATATTGAATATGTAAGTTTCCTTCCCATTAATATGTAAATTTCCTATTTCTCTTCGGTCCACACGTACTGAATCTTGTTATCAAACTGAGACATCTACTCTACACCAGGTTTGCCAAAAGAATCACAGCTTTTGCTGAAGAGAAGTTCAAAAAAGATGGAATTGATGTCAAGACTGGATCAATGGTTGTGAAGGTTTCAGATAAGGAAATCACTACTAAAGATGCAAAAACCGGGGAGATAACCTCTACACCTTATGGAACAGTTGTTTGGTCAACTGGCATTGGAATTCGCCTTGTGATCATAGATTTTATGAAAGACATTGGCCAGGTAGTGTACTTCTGTCTGGTCTTTGACAAGATTATAAATTTTGTGCTACCTTGTTGAACTTACTTGCTGAGATTGAATACATATATTATCTGGTTATAATGTGTAAAATTATGTAACTGTCCAGGGCAATAGACGTGTGCTTGCAACTGATGAGTGGCTACGGGTTGAAGGATGTGACAATGTATATGCAATTGGGGACACTGCATCAATTAGTTGGCGGAAAGTGATGGTAAGCATTTCTCTAGGTCAAAGATGTAAAAATTTGAAGGTTGTAATCAATTAGTGATGAAAACATTTTCTCTTGTGAGATCATTAAACATACTTATTAGTTATATGGATGGATACTGATGTTCATGAAGATTGAAAACAATGTAGTGAAGATTTTAACCATATAATGAGACATTTGCTAAGTGTGCTGATTTTGTGTGTTTGTTTGAAATTGGAAATCTGTACAGGATGATATTGCAGCCATATTCCGCAAGGCAGACAAGGACAACTCTGGGACACTAACAGTTAAAGAATTTCAAGATGTCCTTGCAGATATATGTGAAAGATACCCACAAGTGGAGCTCTACTTGAAAAACAAACACATGCGTGGCCTGGTTGATTTGCTGAAAGAAGAAAAAGGCGGTGATGTTAAGGAGCCCTTGGAGATCAACATTGAAGAGTTCAAATCTGCACTCTCCAAAGTGGATTCTCAGATGAAGACTCTTCCTCCAACTGCTCAGGTTTGGCGACACAGTTCTAATTTCTTATTGCATTTCAGACCGGTCCTCATTCTTTCCTTTGACTCACAAAATGTATTTTCAGGTTGCAAGTCAGGAAGGAGTTTACCTTGCAAATTGTTTCAACCGGATGGCTGAGTGCGAGAAGAATCCAGAGGGCCCTATTCGGTTTAGAGGAGAAGGGCGCCACCGTTTCCATCCCTTCAGGTACAACCACAGGGGACAATTTGCACCTCTTGGAGGAGAGCAAACAGCTGCACAGCTTCCTGGAGATTGGGTTTCAATTGGCCATGTCCCTCAAGCCCTTTGGTATTCTGCTTATGCCAGGTTAGTTTAGCTTTCCTGTACAGCATTAATTTTTTTTAAAAGGTTAATGACTCTTTTGGTTGCATTGGAAATATGGAAACTAAGCAATAAAATTGTGACACTTCTAATTTCAGCATGCAAGTGAGCTGGCGTACAAGAACACTGGTGATGTCAGACTGGATCCGGCGTTTCTTCTTCGGGAGAGACTCGAGCCAACTCTGAAGGGAGATGGTTACTTTCACACACATTCTTTGATAAAGTGATGGAATTTTTTCGCATTCGTTTTTTGGTTCACGGTTATGTCCGATTTTTGCAGCCGAATAAGGCTTGCCTGAAATTTTGGGATTGCAACTGTACTATGCATGTTTTGCTGATCTTCTCTTCTCTTTGATTTTTTTTCTTTTAATATTGCTCACTTATTGAGTAATTCAAGCTGGAACTCTTATGATATTGCACTATTTTTAGTGAACTAAAAGGTTTACATATTACTTTCAAATTTGGTGCCTTCTTTAAATTTTACCATAATGTTGCATTCAATGTCCCAGCAGCCATTTCTACTCGAAAGAACATGCAAAATAAAATGGTCTTCTCTTATGGTCAAAACTTGGGCTGTGTTTTTTGTGCCTTGATGTTAACTGGAGTCTTTCACTCTTGCCTTTGATAATTGTTGTTTAGATATTGAAGTCTAGGGCTGAGCAACGGTCGGTTTTGGTTTGAAACCGAAAAAACTGACTTTTTTTAACATGGTTGAAAACCGACTGAACCGAACCGACCATAAATTAAAACCGATCGAACCGAAACTGAAAACCGCCCATACATCAAAAAAACCGACCGAAAAACCGAATTCTAATTACTTTTATTTTGATTTTTTAATATAAATTCAAGAAATTAATTCGGCAAGGTAGATTGATATGTATTAAATTAGTTTAGATTAAGACTTTTCTATTGTCATTGATTTAGTAAGGTAGATTAATTTTTATTTGAATATGCACTATCCATTTCATATAAAAATTGCACTTTTCTTATTAATATGTTCAAAACATTAACAAATAAATTTTTTAAAAGTAAAACATTATAGTTTTCCATGAAAAAGTAAAAAGAAAGCATGAATGTTAATCAAATATTTTTTTATTTTAAAAAATAAAAAATAAATTAAAATAAAATCATCGTTTATTCGGTCGGTTCGGTTTTTCTTACAAAAAAACCGAAAACCGAAAAAACCGAAAATAACTTTTACATGAAAACCGAAACCGAACTTCCGGTTATTTTGGTTTCGCGGTCGGTCCGGTTAATTTGCTCACCCCTATTGAAGTCTATTACTCCCTCTGTCCTATAATGATCTTCCCAGAGCATTATTCCAACTTCACGGGAATTTATATTTATTTGTGTTTTTTCATTGCCTATATGATAAAATAAAATATTCTTGTCACCACTTGTTTTGTTGAACTTTTGATGTAGTTTTTAAATATGTATGTTTTATTTTTTATTTCTATACCAATATTTAAATAAAATAGATTGAAAAAACTTGAGATTTTTCTTCGTTTTGCGAACTGGGAAGATCATTATAGGACGGAGGGAGTAAAATGTGAATCCAATTCTATTAATGACTGAAGGAATGATAGCTATCTAGATTAATACTATGTCACTCCCTGGTACTCCGCATTTTTTTTGTCTCAACAAAAAATCCAAACTGGACTAGATTAATACTATGTCACTTCAATCATTTAATTAAAATATTTGAAAAAATTTATCTATTATGTTAAAATAAAACTTTTTCCAAAATATATTCATAATTTCAACTTATTTCTTATATTTTTTTAAGCATTTGAACATTATTGTATGTTTATTGTTCCAAAATGTATGTAGTATTTTTTTGGGACTTTAACAATAGACATATATCGTGACTATGAAAATATATATCGAGACTACCAAGATATTCGTAATTTCAATTTGCAAAGAGACTTAGGAGTATGATTTTTGGGTATTATTGGCTCTATTATAAAGAGGTAAAAATTATTTATTGAAATATATTATTCATTAGGTTAGATATATTTTTGATTCCTGCATAATGAGTGATTTTTGTTTTTAGTTCTAAAATATTTTTTAAATTAAACTATTCCTCTAAAATATTTGTTTTTGTAAATGGTTTTCCCACCAATTTATAATTAATTTGTCACGACTTAAAAGGACGAAAAACAAAATAACTCTAGATTTAAAATATTTTAAAGTGACCAAAAATTAAATTAATGATTTCTTAGAAATAAAAAACAAATTCAAGATTAACTCTAAATTAAGAATAAATGAGAACGAAAAACACTGTTACTTTTACATGGAACTGAAGTCGTTGGTATTGTTGGTACGACTCCACAAGATTCATAAGAAAATTCACTTATTTTACATTACATGGATTTTATGTTATTGGCTCTTTCATTGAGAAACTCAAATAAAAGAAAAGGTAGGTTTCTCAATGGATCTTGTGGAGTGAACTTTTGTAGTAGGTAGGTATAAAGACCTTATGCCATGTATAAACATCCTACTAGGGGTGGGTTCGTTTTTGGCGGTTCGGTTTTCACCCAAAACCAAAGACAAAACGGAAGGTAAATTGACGGTTCGGTTCGGTTTGGTTTTGCATAAAAAATATGTAAACCATTGGTTATTCGGTTCGGTTTTATACGATTTTTATTTCGGTTTTTTTCGGTTTTTTCGATTTTTTCGGTTTATAAAAGTAGAAATTTATAAGCATTAAAAAATTGTAAAAACACTAACTCGATTTTTACACAAAAACTCGATTTAGTGTTAGCTTTGGTTTTTTGTTTGATTTTTACACAAAAACAAAAACCAAACGGAAGGTTATTGTTCCTTTCGGTTCAATTTTACATAAAAAAATATGTGTTGAGTGCCCAACAAACATTTAGAAGATTCCAAATACTTCCAAAGAAATTGTATGTAAAATCAATTACGAAGAATTTAGGTTGTTTGGTATAATACTTTCATTTTCATTATAACTTCAAAGTATTTGTTATGTAAATATGTAAATTACTCGTATCAATTTTTAATGTTAATATAATTCTATATTAGGATTAGCTATTGGTGTTTATATTCTTAGGTTTTTTCAAAGTTTATAATAATATGGCTAGAATGTTTAATTAATAGTTAAGAAAATAATTTTAATCGACTAGTAATTTATTTGCATTTATATTTCTATAATTTTTTTACATATCACATAAATTCATATAAATAAAGCGAAGTATCTAAGAAAGTTCAGTTTATTCGGTTCGGTTCGATTTTTAAAAGAGAAAACCAAAACAGAACCAAACACTAACGGTTCGGTTTTTTACATTCGGTTTCGGTTTTTTCGGTTCGGTTTTTTTTCTAGCTTGTTTCGATCGATTTCGGTTCGGTTTGCGGTTTTTGGTTTTCCCAACCCAGCCCTACATCCTACAATATCTTTGTTAGAATTCGAATTCGGTCACATTCCTCTTGATCAGTTGAATTATACAATGGAGCATTATTTTGGATGAGAAGAAATATGAGATGAAGGTCTGTTTGGCAATAACGTTAAAGTTTATCACTAACACTTTAAAAAAGATATTTAATATTCTCCATGTCTTAAAATTATCTTTTCTTTGCGCGTTACGATGTTTGATTGAAGTTATTTTCAAATCATTTTATATGAAAAATGGCGTGAAATTAAAAAAATAAAAATTACATATTTAAAACTACATCAAAAGATCTACAAAATAGTGGTGACATGACTATATTATTTTATCAAATGTGTAACAAAAATAAGTCAAATAAATAAATAAAATTTGACTCCGTGAATAGTGAACGGGAAGATAATTATTGGAAGGAAAGAGTAGTTATCTTTAATGTTATTTTTAAAATTTCATTGACACCATTAAAATTTTGTATTTTTTGCGTCCCAAAAAGATTCCAATAGTTTGATTTTTCTCGTCAAATTGTGGTACTTTTTTATTGTGAATTATGAAAAATGTATATCTAGTCATAATAAAAATTTAGTAAAATTAGTTTATTTTAAAATATAATTTTAAAATATCAATTTTTATAATATTTAATTATTTCAAACACTATTTTCTTCATGATCAAAGAATATTATAGTTTAACAAAAAATATTAAATTATAGCCATCTTTTAGGGAAGAGGGAATAAAAATTGCCAACAAATCCCAAGGCCACTCCGTGGAGCGGCGGAGTAGGAGGAAAACGGGAATTCCGTTTTGTATTTATTTCAGGCACCGCCGTTGTGGGGGGGACTCAGCCATTCTTATTCTTGAAGCAACTTCAACTGCTCTTTGAAGTTGTTAAAATCAACCAATTTTCTCCATCGCCATCTTTCACCTTCATCCAGATTTCAGATCTCCTTTGAGTTTGACAAGGAGGGCCCGATCGTAATTTCACGTTGCATGTGCAGAAAGATCCATAACCAGCAAGATTTTGTTTTTGTTTTTTTGCCTCATCCAGATAAGGTTAATGGAGACTCCTTCCTCTCTCTCTCTCTCTCTCTGACAGCTATCACTAACCGCCGTCGCCGGAAGATAAAAATGCGCCATCTCACGGTTCTGTAAACTCGCCATGTGCCCGGAAGAACCCCTCGCCGGAAAATCAAGAATCCGGCGAACCCTCGAACTGGTTTCCACACTGATCTCCGTCTCGCATTCGATCAGGGTCTTCACTGTTAAGTGGAGTTCGATACGGGACAAGCTCGAGGAGCTCAGCTCCACCCTCTCCGCCTTCGAGAACTGCGATTCTCCGGCAGAAAAATCCGATCTTTCCGATTCTTTGGAAGCCGTTGCAGCCACTCTGGAGAGCTGTCTTGACCTCGCTCGCCGCTGCGTCGACTTATCGTTCTGCGGGAAGCTTCAAACCCAGAGCGATCTCGACATTGCATCTGCAAAACTGGATTTTTACAACAAGAATTTGGCCGAGATTCACGCCGGAGCCTTTCTTTCCCATGGCTCTGCCATCGTTGTTTCAAGACCGGGCCTTTCGGCTTCTCGGGACGACATCAAATTCTACATCAACGATTTGCTTTCCAGAATGAAAATCGGGTGTAGAGACATGAAGAAACAAGCTCTGGTTGTGTTCAATGAGGTCATCCAAGAAGATGACAGGTATGTGAGAATTGCAACAGAGATTGAGAGTTTCTTGGCTCTGTTAGTACAATGTCTTGATTTTGAAGATGATGGAATCCAAGAAGAAGCTCTGAGGGCTGTTTTGGTAATTTCAGGCTTTCAAGTCTGTAGAGGTAGCCTGATCACATCAGGTGTAATTGCCCCATTGATTAGAGTGTTACAGTGTGGGAGTGATTTGAGCAAAGAGA